AGAATTAAGTGAATTTTGTTACAAACAATGAAAAATTAATTATCGGCTCCGTAAAGCTCATGCGACTGAGCTTTCCAAATAAACGAACTAGATAAAAATAAAATTAAATTAAAAATTGACAATATCTCCCAAGCTAAATAGAATAGCAGATATTTGTCTTTTACAAAAACGTGTATTTTAACAAAGTAAAAAACTAACTAGAACATCGAAAACAGACGTTTAGAGATTTCCGGTAATAAGGCTTCATAGTTCTATTGTGGAGATTGGTGGAGGGTTAGTATCTTGAGCAAAGTTGCTTGTGTTGTCATTTACTGCAACTTTGCCGAAGACCCAACTATCTATCTTCACTTTTCCGAAAACTTAATCAACGACCGGGTACCGTAAAATGATAGGACTTTGAATGCCTAGAAACTATTCCGAAGACATTTTATACTAAAAATAAATGGTTTTTAGAATAGTTCCCCACGATCACGTTTTTCAACGTTTGGACCACTGTACACTGGTATAGCGGCCATGTGGCATCATACGACATGTCAAAACATCACGTCATTGGCGTGTGGTAAACGACGCCATGATGTTTTGATGCCACACTTCCGCCTCAAGCTAGATAATATGGCCAGAATCCAAGCTTGAATGCAACGAATATTTTACTTGGACCATGAATCCTTCGCAAAAGCCGACATGAAGATGATATCAGGACAAAAGTTCTACTTGGCCATGACTCGGGAACAAATGCTCTCTAAGGTTATGGAACTCGGGGGCAGACGCAGAGGACGTGCTCAACGGTCGCTGGAACTCCGCAAATCTCGCAGTTTTTCCTGAAAGGTCCTCCGCCAAAATTCTGGCTTAGTTCGGAGCCTGGATAGCACTTTTTGATCCGATTGATTCCGAAGGTCCGTCCATGCCGCCGTGCTTCCTTTAATCTTCCGGATAAAAGGTCCCCTGATGCTGAACCACTGTTCGTTCCATGCCTTTCGAATGTTAGATTTGATCCATCGCCTGATGTCCTGCAACGGCACTTTGTCAGTGAATCTGGGACCGGATGGTCCAGATCCAACAAGGTGATCCGCTGCCTCGTTGCCTGGATGCACGGATGTGACGGACCTGCCGAATGGAGCTCCTGTATGGCGCTGTGTGAATCCGTGAGGATTGGTTGGCTGGCAGGTGCTGTGGCTGCATGAAAGATTGCAGCGGCTTCGGCAGAGAAGACGGAGCATTGCGGCGGTAGACTGTTGCTGACAAGTAAATCACTTCCGGATACCCCGATGCCAACGCCTGAGTTGGATCGGGAACCATCAGTGTACCGGGGTGTAAATGCGACATAACGAGAACCAATGATTTCGGCGACAGACCGACGCAAGGCCAGGGAGTTGTCACCTGCCTTGAACCGGCTCTTGATTCTCTGGTCTTTGTTGGTATCGGGAGAGAGCAAACTCTTCTCTCCGTGCCAGTGAGTCCTAGCCACCGGGGGGAGGTCGACGTTGACGATCGTGCGCAGGAGTCTGTTCCCTCGTCGAGGAGGAAGATCGTGCCATTTCCAGCTGTTCTAGCGACAAATGATGCGGCTCTAAAGATGGTTGCGTTCATAACACGGTACCGGAATGGCAGGATCCCCGCTTCTACGCAGGCCGAATCGGCGGGAGTGGAAGATAGGAGACCGGATATGATCCGAATCCTGCTGTTGTATGTCGGGCCGAGAATTTCATTTTGTTTTCCGGGTGCGAGACTTGCGCAACCCGGAAATGGACCGCCCGATTGTTGGATCGGTGGGACTTGAAAATCATTTTTAGTAGGTTGATTCGGCTACGGCAGATCCGTGTGGCACGAAGGATAGCGTGCGGTCAATAAGCACACCCAAGACCCGGACGAAATTTTTAATGAGGATGGCTTGATCGGAGATTTTGATTGGGATTCCGCTGACTGTGTGCCGCGATGTGCAGACATGGCATCTAACACTCTTCTTCGCCGAAAGCTCGAACCCTGCTGTTTCGGCCCATTTTTCTACAGCTGTAACTGCGGCTTGGGCTAGTTTTTTGGTCCGAACTGTGGTGGACCCTGTTACCACGATGAGGACGTCGTCAGCGTAGACGAAAATGTGGATGTTCTTGAGCAGCTGGCTAAAGACTCCGTTCATAGCAATCAGGAAGAGCGTGACAACGATCACTGATCCCTCGGGGACCCCTGTTTCTTCCTGAAAGCGGCTGGATAGGTTGATCACGATTGCAACTCGGAAGGTGCGGTCGGTGAGGAAATTCCGAACGAAATGGATGATGTGTCCAGAGAGGCCCCAAGCTTGCCAAGTACAGCTGGAGTCCAGGCTATTATTATTATTATTATGTCTATATTACAGAGACTTTCAGCCGTGGGCTGATTCAATCCCCTGAGGTCCCTCTCATGTCCTGATCAGATTGTGTGAACTGTTATTACTGAGGGATGTGCTACGATTTTACAAAGTCAAAGGAGTCCAGTTTGTTCCAAAAGACGTCAACTAATCCAATTGTCCCCCGTTTAGACCAAAATTTTAGGCAATTATTATGAGGATGCTAAAGGTAAAACTGTGTAGTGTAAGTGATCAAAAACACCAGTCAGATGAAAATTTGGTAGACTACCCAACAAACAATTTTAGCTTCAGACTAGCTTATACAGGCAAAAATTAGCTGTAAAAGCTAATTTTTGGCTGTATAAGCTAATCTGCAGCTAAAATTGTTAGTTGAGTAGGACCACTAGGACGATGGACGACGAATGTGCACGCTGGTTGACGAGCCAGAGGTCTAGAAAAAGTCCCAAAGTGTTAAGATTACGATGAACAGTTTTTACACTTAATATTAAACAATTGAGTCGAATAAGATCTGTAATTAGGTCATCCAAATTCGAAATTGTGTATATTCCATTTCTAAATAGTCCATGCTAACAGGCTTCATGTGTTGCGTAAAATAAATAAGTAAATTTAATTCCCGGCGGCACCGACTGGGATTGAACCCAGTCCTGCTCATCTTTGGATTTATTACGTCCATACTAGGATTCTACTCCGGCCCTTAGCTTGGTGTTCTTTGAGCACTTACTTCTTCTTCTTCTTATTCCCATTTAATTTCTTTCGGGTATTGCTTATCGCATTTAAGCTTACGTGTTCTCAACTTAGTGTCCTAGATGCACTTCCACAGTTGTTAATTGAGAGCTGTCTAAGTCTGTTTCATTTTTGCTTTAGTATAATTGTGTGGTAAATACAATCATACCGATAAGTTCCTTGACCAGACCCGGCTACCGATTCATAAATAATTTACGATTTGTTTAAACATAAAGCCAGCTCTTTTCTACCTGGTATTATCTAACTCGATAACCGAGCTAACTCCATTACTTGATAGAAATTCTATCTCTTATGATTACTTTCTTCAACATAATATATTTGATGTTCGTGTTTCGTCAATTATGTATTCTGCCATACGTAAAATTATTGATTTCTTAGTGTGTCTATAAGAATTTTGTTTTTGGATTAAATTTAGATTTATATTTGATTGGCTCTACACTCTCATCGTGGATTAACATTTATATCTGATGTTCCAGATCAAAAATAAGAGGTTCAAATCTGTTTGAACTTGATGCAAACTTTCACAGTGCCATTGAAATCCAAAGTCCTACTGGAAATCAATTGATAGCGCTTAGAAAAACCAAAGGATTTGTGTGGTTGCCACAGTTTTTTGTGTACAAGAAATTACTATTCCAAGATCAAATTTGAATAGCCCGTGATTTTATTGAGATACTCGTTTTTAAATCATCATTGATAGTAGCATGATATTTCAGTATAAAAGTATGTTCTAATCATGTCAAGTAGAAACACATAAACACGATTAAAAGACCTTTTCTTCAAAAACTAATGCACTTAAAGACTTTTTCCAAAACTGGTGTACCATCGTTCTGATTTTAAATGTGTTAACACTATATTATTAAGCAAAATATTATGTCCAAAGAAAAATTTACTTTCCCTAATGCTTGTGATTATTCCAAACAAACTAGTTTTAACTTTCACCAAAATTATCACTGAATCTGAAACTCATGTAACTAATCAGCTAATTGAATGATATTCCAATCATTCCACTTCCATCCAAAATGAGACTGAATTCCATCAGCAGCGGTTAACATTGGTAACCTGTCCAGTACAGCTTCCGACGTTTCCGAATCAGACGGTTCGATAATACCATCCGGAAGCATCCATGCCGTCTAGCTTGCAGCACAAACCGCAAGCCCAACTGTCGAAACAATCAGCTGTCACCGAACGTAATAGACCTCAGTGAGTGGATAGACCACCTTGCCGACACGGTAGTGACATATCGGTTCCCGAATGTGGATGAGCAATGCTGCCTGTCTGTCGGCTAAATTTCGACATTCCACATCAAATGGATGGTCAGTCGGTACGTCCATTTAGAGGATGAAATTTGCCATTAACTGCGGCTGAAGGCTATTCTCTGCTATGTTACTGGCACGCATTGCATTCAGTTAGTAAAATTAGGTAGCTAAATAGATACATTCGATTCCAATCTGATAATTTCGAAAAGCAAGCTGTCCGTGATAAACAATCTATTCAGAACGAGTTCCTGCTAATGTTCCATTGTTTGTGTGAGCAGTGCGAATAAGTAGAAATTTGTAGCTCGTTTCTGTTAGCTCGGTTTTGAAAAGACCGCAGTGGATGGAATGCTCTGACACGGAGAAGCACTCTGCCCACGAGTCGAACAGAGAATACCAAAAATAAAGAAAAACTAGTTTTCATTTATCTCTTTCCTTTCTGCCGAGTGGTTCTTGCGGCTCTACATCTGCTTTCTTCGCTCTTTGTTTCGGAGCGTACCGCGAAGAATGTGTGTATACGGGTGTCTTGAAGTATCAAGTATACGTGTATCTGTGGGTCTCTTTCGCCAAGTTGCTACAACTATCGCGCTTCCTGTGAATGCTGTTGAACTTCCCCCGAAAAGAAAACACAGTTGAACAGAGTTATGTTGGAAATTACATACTTGGTAGAAAACTTATTCTTCTGTTCTCAGCACACGGTGCCGAATGATCACTATCACCTTAACTTTTTGCATTATTTTCATTCTTTTTGCATATCTTTATATTTGCATCACCACACTTTTATTGCATAAATTCTTCCCTTTTTTGTATGCACGAAAGCAACTCTTCTTCACGCGCTCGTTCACTCAAACTTTCTGCATTTCATCCATTCATTTAGAAATCTTCCACCTTCTTCTTTAAGTTTCACCGTTTGGATCTGTTACAATGCCTTCCAGCCAGAAACTCTTCGTCTTTTCATCGACGTAGTAAAACACGACCCGTGTCCATCGGCTAGTCCGTCGAACTTTCAGCTCATGAAAACCGCCAAATTGCCAACGAAACCACTGCACCCAACCGAGAACAGCGGAACGCAATCAGGTCGGACTATAATCCCGAAGATTTAACAATCGTCAGAGACCATCGAAATACACAGCGTCCTCTCCCGGGCTAAACACAACAAACAGCGGAGCGGAATAGTGCAAACATGCCGTGTGTGTGTACGTTCGACCAACCTCGACAGCAGCAGCAGCGGCAACACCAGCAGTGTTGGTGGTGGCGATGGCGGCAGCAACGATGGCGTTGGGCAGGTTTTTCTCAGACTCGATACACTGCCAACATAAATACACAGTGACTGAAATCCGGACTCAAACACCGAATGAGAATGCAGCGACAGTTCTCCGTCATACACGTCCGTTACCGACCGAAGTTCAGAGAAAACTAAGCGCCCTTACGTTTGCCGTTCGCCAGTCGGCCAATACATACACGCAACCGGGAACGAATTGTCACAGTCGTTCGGTCCATATGGCAGGAGAGCCGAACGCATGAAACGGGACCCGAAATAGCAACGCTGGTTTTGTGAGTTAACGGATGAACACACCGATGGTTGCCGAATGCCGGAAGGATGAATGGCTGGTGCGGCCGTGTTTGGTCGGTAGTCTGCCATTTTCTGCATGGCCGTTTGTTGTCGGTTCATGCGGTGGGTTTTTCGATGTCGGCATGGAAAGGAGATACATTCTCAGAGAATATGGATGAAAGGTCACTGAACACAAGCGGCAGGAACGGTGAGAGAGAATGAATGGATTCTGTGGCGGTGAACACAAACAAACCGAAAGTGATCTAAAGCGTACGGAATGAACATTGGTTTCCTGAGGGGAATGCATGGAATCATAATGTTTGTTTGTTTTTGTCTTATATATTACGGTTGGTTATGGTAGATGCAATATAGACGTTTGAGTGAAATTTCTTGATCGAATTTAATATAATCTTGAAATGATATGTATTGTTATAGTATAGTTATTGTTAAGTTGTTCTGATTGTATCTCTTTTTCATTTGCATGCATTTCGGGTGGTGAGCGAACATGAAGAAGAAGAAGAATATGGCTTTATTACAGAGCCCCGTCTCGGAACGAGTATATTGTTGATGGACCTGGTCTACGATTCAAGATTGGTTTCTGTAATTATAAGTATCACGATCTTCATCGAAATGTAAGTATTATTTACAATAATCATGACAATCAACTCGTATATTCATTGAAAGGGAAGGGACGGTCCAACAAGGCACCCGATTGAAGTGATTTGGACGGGGAGATCGGGAATGCCAACTCCCTGTTGATAACATTTCGTGGATAAAGAGTGGGCTCTTCTCCCCACTCATTGGGGCTTCTTCCTGTTTGAGGGCTTGTCCTTTTGACCAATTGGCTGATCAAGTTGCTGGAAGGAGATTCTTTATTGTTCCGTAGAAATCTGTTATCCGTTTTTGGCCCTTCATACAGCGACATGTTGAGGACAATCAGAGGTTATTAAGCTTGATCAAGACAATCAGAGAAGAGAACCCACTGCTGTCGGACTTAGTTTCCGTGCTATAATGGGGTGGTAAACCACTATCATCATCATCAGTATAGTTATTGTTAAGTTGATCCGGCATTTCTAATAGGTTCAAGGACCGATGCACCTTTTTTCACCTTCTTCAAGGCTGTTCCATCTTAGCTAAAAATGTAGGCCTGCCATCAACTTTGCAGTGTGATTTGAGCACTTATTCAGATGTTTATCGGAGCTTCTCAAGGGGAGGTTCATTTATATTTTGTCGGAAAAATCATTTTCTTGAAAACTACACATGTGTAGAATATATGTGTCAAAGAATATTCCGCAACAATACGTATTTTTCGAGTTGGAGCGTCTCGAACGGACCCATGTCACGCCAAAAACTTTAAACGTGTTTTTACCGGAACCATGTTTTGAGAACTCTTGTCAATGATTCTTATTCTATTAATCCGATTCACTTCATTCAAACATAGTTTTAAAGTGAATACTTTTCTTTACGGCTTATAGGGGAATTCACGTATTCTCGGCAACCTAAGCAGCGACCTTCTTTCTATAACCTTTTTCTCTAAGGAACGCACACATATGCAGTATTGGTTTGTTTACAATCTTTTGCTGCCAGCTGCTCTAACAATTTCACTCGAAAGAATTGTCAAAAACTGTTTTGAAACGCTTTTACAAAGCTCCAATCTTCTCTAGTGAGAGCGAGTATTGTCGGCAACCAGTTTTTCTTCGGCAACCGTTCCATTTGAACTGCATGTAAATCTGCTGTTCTATTATCGGCAGCTCGAAATCAGCTACAATTTGTAGTGCGTGTGTTGCATTTCAAGAAAACCTTGCTTAGATTACTCAGTGGTAAAAATATAGTCAAATTGAAGCTGAAAGCATAAAGAATCGTTTGCATGCATTCAGCGAAGTGTTTTCGTAAGAAAATCCAGTGAAAATAGTGTTTCAATTTGGGTTGCCGAAAATAGTCTGTCAGTTACTCATTTCAGTTTACCACGGAAGGCCCTACAATTGACAGCAGGGGACATTGTCTCGTGCGCTGAGGCCGACGAGATCCGCCATTTTGAAGCCGCTATTTTGAATTTTTCAATAACAAAAAAAAAACATTTTGTAGTCATCAATGTATGACGCATTGATAATCAATAGCACAACTTTGTATGTCTTTTCGTTTTCCCACAAATAATTCACAAAGTTTGCACGGTTTTCGACCAAATCCAAATGAACCTCCTCTTGTATTTGAATGTTTCTGCGTAGGGGGGTTGGGGGCAAGAAGACCATACGGGGCGAGATGGGCCACCGTTCGTTTGGGCATAATACCTTTTAACTCAACCTATTGTTTTTTACAAACATGTTGAAAATGCTTCTAATATGCATCTCCATGAAAATCGTATCAAAATTCAATAACATGCCTAAGATAATAATGGAAATGTAACATTAGCTCAAAATCTCTAGAATATTATAATATATGCAGTCAAGAAAACAAGCATTGCATTCTGTATATTACATTTTACTGATCCGCTAGTTCTACAGCGAGCAATACACGTAACTGTTGCTAAAAGAACTTATGTTTCTATTTCACATGATTCCTGAATGTTATTTTCTAGTGAAAACCTGTTAAAACGTTAACTTTTACTAGGGTGCTCATTAGACTGATGCAAAATTTGAAATTTTCGCTCCACAGTGCTCAAACGGCTCCAAATTAGGCCCTGATTAGCCTCCCAAAATTTGAACTCATTTAGTGAGAAACTGACTTGGCACAAACCATTTGAAGTTTATATGGGAATTGCTATGGAGAAACCATAATTTCGGTTCATATCTCTCAAAATTCACTAGTTCACTCTAATTTAGAAAATGATAGTTGAGCATGTTGAAAAATTTTTCAGCTACAACTTTGTTGAGGACCAGTTTTCGATCAAATGTAAGGAACAAAAGTTATGAATGAGTCAAGTCACTGATGTCTTATGATTATGCTCAATCAACTGTTCAGCAGGCAACATTGGTGTTTAAGGCGCGTAGAATAGAGGACAACAATCATGGCTACTATATCATACTGCAAAATACAGTGTTGCTCACAATACAGTTGCTTAATCTTGCCATGAGATTATCAATCTCTTAAATAATTAATAACTATTTAATTTGACGTTGTAACCATAATTCTGAACAGCTAAAAGTTAGCCGAGACACGACCGAAGATCGTGCGATAAATATTTACTCGATGTCGGCTGCGACATGAAGCATGCAACAAACTCTATCTCGTTTGCTCTGTGACAATACGAGCGTAACCGGCGCCGGTGGTGTAGTGGTAAGCGTGACTGCTTTCTAACACCCCAATGGGTCTGGGTTCAATCTCAGCCGAGGTCGGTCGGATTTTTCTGAGGCATAAAAATCTCTGGTCACGTCTTCCTTCGGAACGGAAGTAAAGCCGTTGGTCCCGGCCCATGTGTGTTGTTGAATGGGTGCGATATCCTACGCAGGTGTGGAAGCTGCCTTCCTGCACATTCGGTTGCCGTCAATTGATGGCAATCGATGTCCGTCGGTGATTGGCACTAGATTGCGGAACAGAGACCGACGTTCAATAAAGGAAAATAAAAAAAAAAAAACAATACGAGCAGCAGTGAATACATTGTGTCGCGAGTATAACCGCATCTAATTGTGGCAGCTCAGAATAAGCTGAGAAAACTCAGGCCTCTTTCGCCAATCGATCGTCAGTCGGAGCAGCTCAGTGTATTAGATAGTGAAGTAAAACAGAAGAATTGTACTCCCCATTGTACTGGGTCAGAAAAAGTTATACTATTGTTAAAAGTGAGTGAAAGCCAGAAGTGGCAGAAGGCGCAATTATTAAATAGCCTAATTTTTATTCTCGTTAAAGAACTGCTCCTCTTTTGTAAAACCAGATCGGTTTCAGAAAGATCCTGAAATTTGCAGGATTATAGAAAGCATCAGGTAGGAAAAACCATTGAGATTAGTAGTGCTGACAACCAGTGGTAAGACGATTTCGTGGTTCGTTTGAAGGTTGTTTAAACCTTCGAACGAAGGTTTTTTTGTTCGGTCTAAATTCGCAGGTTCGAGACTTTTCTCCACACCAAAAGCGCCACGCGGGAAGACCAAGCTAGTGCTAGTGATCTAACCTCCTATAGGAAGGAGAGCCACCTCGTGGACACATAGTGTTCGCTTAGTGCACTGCCATTAGTAGTCCGTAAAGGACCACGCTAACTCCGCTTGGATAGGAATAGTTCCCCGCCACGTGGCATCGCTTTCATCATCCTTTCGGTGTGTCACCCTGCGTACAACAACCTGCATGCTTGGCTTCGAGTTTGGTGAATAGTACCATCGTTATCCATCTGTGCACTGTGGGCGAACGAAACGCCTAAGCCAGATCAGCCGCATCAAACAAGCCAATCCTTGGTACATCCGTCGTGGGATAGTCGAGTATCTTCAGAAGCTGTCTTCCGTCAAGTTGTCTGCGGCCTATCGCCGCGAGTAGCAAGAGTCGCCTGCGGCCCATCGCCGTATACACCAGTTCGCTTGCGGCATACCGTCGCTAATATCATCGTCGACTGCGGCACTCCTGCCGCAGCAATCAACGTGTCGGTGGCCTCGCACCGCTAGGACCTGCCCATCGTAGGCCGACAACAGATCGGCGAGAGAAGGATAACTGTTGTCTCGACGTTACAACCATTCTTTGCGGCTTCGTCGTGCATCGTGCGACTTTCATCGCCACCCCATGCAACACCACTTGTTTCTCAGCGAGTAACAACAACTTTAGTGTGACTAATAGACGGTCCAAACTATGGACAACGCACCGCATATAAAACTTCATTGTACCTTAAAAAGCGCAGAAGGTGGAGTCTCTTTGCAACTTATGTTTGTGGCATAAGGTGTTGCAAA